TGTAGGTGTATAAAAGGTTTAATTATCTCTTTGTTTTTCCACTAAAGAGGCTATAATGAAGTGATTCTAGTAAATTCACCGGGAACTCTTCAGCTGAGCACAAAATTACAGCAGTACGCATAAATATTTGCAGAACGAGGTCATTAACCCATCAATGATCCCTTTCTGCAGGGTCTGAAAATCGCTGGCTCTCCTTTGGTTCCGCGGGTCCCTCCTTTGGGTGGCTCCGGGCAACACGTCTCCCTCCTCTGCAGCAACCTCCTGTTCTCCTTCTCAGCACAAACATACCCGGTTCGCCCCCGGATTGGTTTATATTTGCATTTTCTCACTCTCCTATAATCATCCTGGATGTCAGCAAGATGCAGGGGCTGTTTACACGCAGCCTGGAATTTGCGAGGAATAATTAAGATGCCGCGGTTGGGCTCATAATGATGCTGCAATTTCGTCTTCTTGGAAACTCTGGTTGTGTATCTGCTTCCCCGGGGGCCGGGGGGGCTGGGGACGTGCAGGGAATGCTGACACCCCTCACCTCCTGCCAGAGCTCCCCAACACAACCACCACCACGTGGCATCACGCCGAGATAAGCAGTTGGGGCAGGGGGGCCCCACCACCAAAGCCATGGTATAAAACAACAATCAGCTTATTAAGAAAGTATCAAAACTCATCGTATTTTGAATACTTTTCCTAAGAACGACAGTGGCAGGTGGCTGTGGAAAGGCAGGACCTGAAGGACAGCAACAATTCTAAGTTCTTGAGAACATCTATGGACGCCCTCAGAGCCACCAAACCCAGGCATTTCCTTGCATACACCTCAAAAGCTTCTTTAAAAAATGATGCACAATCTTTAATGCCGTAATCATTCTAATGCTTAATTCTGACGTATTTTTCACGCAAAGGGAAACACCACGTTATTTTTGCCCTCTGGAGGTGTAAGGGAGAATTTCCCCCCCTGTTTCCCGTGGAAGAGCAGCCCCAGAGACACCCGCATCCCCAGCTCTGCCGGGGGAAGCCAAGGCTGCTCGAGTCCTCAGGCTCCTCCAGCGCACAGAAGGCTCCATCTAGTGTTACACTCACATAATCCCAGGGAAAAGGAGGAAAGAGGGGAAAAAAAGGCAGTTGATATAATTGCTATATGTTTTCAAGTTGTCCTGGCAGAACAACCGGACTTTCCCACCCGTGCTTTCCCACACCTGCTTTGCTGCCCCCCCGGAGGCTTCCAGGCTGAAAAGCAATGAAACCAAGCAAGAATAAATGCTTAAACCCCTCACACCCATACAAACAGTCCCATTTAATAATAAACTAAGAGGAAAAGAGCTGGAATTTACAGCAAGGTGGAGGGGGCTGCTCTGTCCCATCACACAGGAGGAGCTCCCCGTTGGCACAGGGCTGTGAAGGACCACAGGTCTCCAGCCAGAGATGGACACTCTGCCTCCAACCTGGAAGTCACATCATGGACAAAATGCACCACGGCACCTCCAGCCCAAACCAAAGCAGGAGAGGACCAGGACCTCCACCCTGACTGGCAGGAGGTGCCCTCACTGAGTGACACTGAACCTCACACGTACCCACCGGGGGGTTTGGCTGCAACAGGTTTGTGTACAAACACACCCCCTGCTCATTTCAGGGCACTGCAAGTTATTACAAACAGCACAAAGGTCTAAAGACCAGAGGAGAAATGTTAGTGACTGGGGCAAAAGAGTCAATTGGGTTTCAAAGCACAATAATTGATGATCTTTAAGGTCTCTTCCAAATCTAACCATTCTGTGATTCCATGATAATTGCTCATCTCATAGAATCACAGAATGGTTTGGGTTGGAAGGGACCTTAAAGCCCCCCCAGTGCCACCCCCTGCCCTGGGCAGGGACACCTCCCACCAGCCCAGGTTGCTCCAAGCCCCCTCCAACCTGGCCTTGAACCCTCCAGGGATGGGGCAGCCACAGCTTCTCTGGCCAACCTGGGCCAGGGGGTCACTATTTTACTAGTTTTAGCAATTCACCTCTGGATTTTGCTGCAGAAGAACATGCTGACGGAAGGGACAGCCTCCAGCAGGTCACAGAACCAGCCACGTGGGGTGGCTGCTTCTAAAGATCGTGTCTTTGGGGCAAATCTTGACTATTGCTAAAAATAACGCTGCAAACGAACCCTCACCCCGGCCCAGCGCCAGGAGGAGAGGCACTGTCCTACCACAGACTCTGCTCAGGGAAACAACCTGGGACCGGCTAAAGTTTGTTGGTGTTTTTGAAACTTCATCTCAAGAAACCATCTAGTGCCCGTGGAAGTTATGGCTCCCACCACGAACACGGCACGGGGCAGGGACCAGCCCAAAGGCAGTGGGGAACCAGCCCTGAGGCCCAGGGTCAGCTGTGCCATTGGGAGGACCACGACCAGGCTCTTCAGACCCACCTTCACCAACCAGGTTTTGAAGAGTCCAATCCTCTCACCCCAACCGCCCGCCTGGAACTACAATTTGAAGTAAAAAAACCAGTCACCGCTTTCCTCCAGTTCTGCCTCAGTCCCCTGGAAGGAGGTACTGCCCCTTCCTGATGGCTCTCCATGAAGTGCTCCTCACATTGAAGTCGTTACCAGCAGCAGAGTTCTCCTGGGCTGTCAGACACCTTCAACCCACCTTCCCATTCTGCCAGATTCAGCTTTTAATTTAAAAACCATGAGGCCTTACCCACCTCAGCTGTGTGACATGGAATACTTCATGGTGTTTGGAAAGTATTTGTTATTCCAGCCCCGGGGAGGTGACGGGGAGACAGTTATCTGTTAGGAGAAGTCACTAAATGCAGTTCACACCTCAGAGGGGTGAATCACTGCAGGGCCCTCGCTGTGACCCCTCCAAGGCAGGGCAGGGGCTGCTCCACAACCTGCCCACCAACACTTCCACCCCAGCCACCCTCCCAGTCCTGAACGTCTGGGGGGACAGAGCCCCAACCTCTTCCTCTTTTCACCATCCTCAGGGGTCATATTTTTTTTTCCTTATACCTATTAAAGTACAGGAAAAATAGAATCTTAACTGAAACCTTGGAACAGGCAGGGAAAAGAAAGCAAGAGAAAAATACAGATAAGCAGAATATAAATTGCATTAATTGCACCCCAACACTGACATCAAATACTTCTTCACCAGTAAAAAGTACCATTCCCCCTCCAGGAGCCTCTGCAGCCCAAGCCCCCCCCAGCCCCCGGGGGCTGTACCCCCACACTTTCCTGCCATTTTTTCCCCCTTCTGTGCAAAACACCCACTTTCCCACGGGTGTCTCCCCACGCTCAGCTGATGGGAACCCCATCTCCCCCTGCTGCTCCCAAATCCCCCCGACTTACCCCAAACCAGCCGGGGAGCTCACCTGCCCTTGCCTCTGGCGGGGGGGAGCAGGGCTCTGCAGCCCCCACAGCCCAGGGCTCTGCAGCTCCTGAGACACAACAAATCCCAGCCACAGCCCCGGGGGATCCCACCAACCCCATAAATACTTCACGGGGGTGTCAGGAGGATGGGGCTGGTCTCTCTTCAGTGGTGCCCAGGGACAGGGCAAGAGGAAATGGGCACAAACTTGAATAGAAGAAGTTCCACCTCAACACGAGGAGGAACTTCTTCCCTGTGAGGGTGGCAGAGCCCTGGCAGAGGCTGCCCAGGGAGGTGGTGGAGTCTCCTTCTCTGGAGACATTCAAACCCACCTGGACACGTTCCTGTGGGACCTGCTCTGGCAGGGGTTGGACTGGATGCTCTCCAGAGGTCCCTTCCAACCCCAGGTGATTCTGCGATTTTGTATTTAGCCCTGTTTTAATTAAAGGCTTCTCACTCCTAATTTGACCACAGGGACGTTACTTTTTGGTATAACCTTTTTTTTTTTTTTTAACTGAAGTAGGTTACACTTACTCCTGACATTCACAATTCACTTTGAGAGATTAATTACAGCTTGTTTTCAGGAAAGGGACAAGATTTTTTTATAGCGATTAAAACTGAAGTCATAGCATATACTGTTTTGTTTTAATTACTAAAATTATTCCTAGAAAGTTAACACTTGGGACTGAATTAGATATCAATCACTAAGGATTCTGTAAGTGAATTCTGTAACCTTTTTCTCCACACTCACCTCCTCTCCAGGCTCCAGACCCCTCTGCACCATGGTTACTGGGTTGCTGGGTCCCCATTACTGGGTACGGCCAAAGCACTTAAACCAGCGTAACTCACAATTTCACAGTGAAGTTAGGCTCATGTTCTGTCCCACACAGCAGTCTGTGTGCAATTAACCACCAATATTGCAGTATTTCAGACATAAAACCACCTCCCATCTCAGCTGATGCTGAGAACGGAACGCCAAGAATGAAATGAAAGCAAAAACCTGTTTCCCTGGAGGAGAAACACCCTCCTGCACACACTCACGAGTGCAGCTGCGCTGCAGCCCATCACCACAGCCCGGAACATCGCAGAGCCTTACAGGCACTGCAACAATTTTAAAAAGATTAAGTTTTCTGAATACAGAAGTGAAGGACTCGTGATGTAAACTGCCAAAGTCACAGCCCAGAAAGCAAACCCTGCCCTCCAGCTGAAGGAGCGCTGAGGATACAGCAAAAGACTGGCCTCATCACTGGCTTTATTGGCTCGTTTCCACCCTAATTTAAATACGTCCAAAAAGCTACGTTAAAATAGGCTGAACAGCTGAAATTAACAATTACTGTACCTGCTTAGATAATGAAGATGCACAGTGTACAGCTGAAGCTCATTAATAACACCTTCCTAATGGGGCACCGGATTAAGGTTTCAATAGTATTTTTCCCGCTCACTAGACATGAAAACAATTATTAAGAGGGACAGGCAATGGGTACACTCCTACCAGAGGTACACTCATTAATATTCTCCTAACGAGGGCTGAGCCCAAAAAAAAAAAAGATGCAATTTAAGTCCTCTATTGTCCTGCAACGGATAGTGGTGTCGTTACTCACATCTTAAACACCTAGGTGCAATGAATACACAGAAAGAGTGCAATAACAACCCCAAAGTTCTTTAGCATTATATTTTAATTGGATTTGAAGATCTTCACATTTTTATATCTTCAGGGGAAGCCACTCTTGTACGTAGCAGGGTCTTGTGAAACAGAGAGAGCACAGAACAGCCTGTATTCGACCCGGATCGGCTCCACGGGGCTACGCCGTGTATTGCTCCAATGTAAGCTAGAAATGAGTAATTGTTCCAGGTATTTCTGTTCCCGTTGATGTCCTTCTCCATTAATTTTCTCCCTTCAGAACAGGCAACAATTCACCACTGTCCCTTAGCTCCTGCAAGGAAACGCAGACAGTTACTCTGGTGTGAGGAGGAGGGAATGCAGCAGGTGACCCACTAGAGGTCCCTCTTGACCAGCACATTGAACTCCAAAATGCATTTAAATTCTATTTTCTGAATATTCGGTGAGAGAGGGAACTTAGTGAAAAGATACACCTTCAAAAGAATTGGTTATCATCAGCTTTACCAGGGAAATCCCCTGGTTTATCTCCTGCTAGATGTAATCCAAGATATACTTTAGGCACACACAAAATAGTACAACACCCAAAATGAAAAAATGACCCTCCCCAGATAGATCTCGTTAGTACCAGACATTAAAACAAACACAGCAGTAAGAGATTTGTGAGAGATCTAAGCAAGAGGTGCTTATTTATATTATCTTGATGATTTAAATTCAAATTATAAGGCTGTCAACTTACTAAAGAGACCAGTAACACCAGAAATGCTTTTAAAACAACTTATTGTGGAGTATGTATTATTTTCCCACCTCACAAGAGAAACACCGTCTCAGTTCCATTCTGCATTATGCCACAGTACAGGATGCATGTTAAAATACCAACAACGTTCATCTCCCCACACAAGGCAGTCGGTGGGAGCTGAGCACAGCCCAGCAACACAAATAGATGTATTTAAATACCAGTGAGAGGAGCATTTTGCAGCATCTCTGCAATGCCCAGGACTACACTTAATGATGACTGAAATATCCCACACGCTTGTTAAATAAATAAAATTAAAGTAATCTATATAATTTAAGTAATACCAGTATTTTTAGAACTAAATGAGATTTATTGATTGCATCTTCCCAGGAGTTACAACGTCTGAGGAATTGGCTATAAAACATTCAGACAAGAATGGGCTCAGGAGTATTTGGGGTTTAGAACAGTGTGCCTGCTCTGTTACAAAAATCAAAAACCACACTAACAGATGCAGATCTATTTTTGTTGCTTCAGGGTCTGTTCAAACAACTACAATAAACCTTACTTTCTTCCAGGAATGAGACTCTTTGCCAGGAAAAAAAAAACAAAAAACAAAAAACAAAAAACAAAAAACAAAAAACAAAAAACAAAAAACAAAAAACAAAAAACAAAAAACAAAAAACAAAAAACAAAAAACAAAAAACAAAAAACAAAAAACACACAAAACAAAAAACCCCAACATCTTGCCCACCTTATTTGAGAAAAGCAATGTCAGGAGTAGAACCGGGAAGAGAAACCTGTAAAAATGCACCCATGGGGGAAAAATGGTCTTTACAGTAACAGTAACTGACTGCTGCCAAGAAAATACATTTCACTGCTAAATCTCAGCATGTGAGAACAGCAGAGATTTAAAGCCCCTTTCTGCTGGACGTGGAGCTAATAGAAGTCACAGGAAAAGCACCCAAATCATTCGCTCTCAGGATCTAGGGGCAATACACACAATTTCTGTCTCGTGGGCAGAAAACATTTCTATAGTTTTAAACAAACAGCCAATTTACATGTCAAACAAGATTCTCCCATTCCTACCTTAACAATATCCAGGCCTCCAACGAGTTCACCTTTCACATACAGCTGAGGATACGTTGGCCAGTTTGAGTAGGTTTTTAATCCTTGCCGCACCTACAAACAATAATCCCAAATGTAAACTTCAACTTTAGTAAAAGCAACAAAGAAAGCCTTAATGATGGAAAAATTAATTACCTCTTCATCTTCCAGTATGTCAAATGTCTCGTAATCAACACTAGAAAAAAAAACAACAACAAAGTCATCTGCTGTGGGGCTTTGCAATGCAAGACCCTTGGAAATTCTAACGGGGTACGCTTACCAGACTGCTTCAAATCACCCAGAATTATCAGGGAAGAGGAGGTAAAAAAGTCAATGCTTTATGCACAAATTGTAACGTAAAGAATGTCTAGTTTCATGGGAAACAAATGATGACAGCGTAACACAGGGAACAAATACGCTGTGTAGCTTAGGCTCTGTTTGGCCAAAATGTGTTGAAAATAATTCCATTCACTATTACTTTAAAAAAAGGGAAACTAACTCTTAAACAAAGAAAATTAGGTTTGGCGAAGTCTTCCACTAATATTTTCCAAACTCTTTTATAAAAAAGTGCATTTTTTTTGAATCAGAACTGGCTCTCCAAATTAAATAATAATTAAAAAACCACTTACGTACCCAGTACTATTTATGATTTCTATAATTTGCTTGCTGAATCCACATTTTGCCATCTGGAATGCAAAACACACAGGCGTTAAAACATATATCTGCTACATTTAATCCACAACATTCCAGGTCCTGAAGCTACACTAAAGCCATTACCAATTTATTGCTAGCGATGACCTTACTGGATGAGCAGTATCGCTAATCCCTTTTTCATTCTTTTTTATGTTCTTTGAGCTTTAAACAGTACTGAATGCTTCTCTCTTTATATACTCTGCTGAGATAAATGAAAACATTGAGGATATTAAATGCTTTCCTCAGCTGTGGTGTGAGATGATACCAGGCCACTCTGTTTCCCAGGTTTGGCAACACTATCTCCGAAACTAGTTAGGCTTGATTATTTTCTAAACATTCAGAAAGCCAAAGCCATAGGTGGGATGGATACAAATGCCTTATATGGGTTTGGAAAACAGCTGTGTTTTATTTTGAGACACACAACACCTTCAGTTTCCATTTCAGTGAGAGCAGCAACCTATGGTCAGCTGATAAACGGGCTCCCAACTGCAATTAAAACTTCAAAGTATCTACTGCAAACTCTTCATAATGACAGTGTAACACCCATCAGGCTTTAGTCTGGATTAAAAATGCAGTGTCTATCTCCTCTTACTGGTGATTTCACTCCACTAGTAGCTCAAGAAAAACACGTAAAGCAACTTGCCCAAACTCTTGCTTTCTTCAGGCAAGACGCGGGTTTTAAAGGAGCCAGAAGCACATCTGGGTAGGAGACCTGAGCCCCACCAGCTCCTCACTGCTCCAGCACAAGCCACAGGGCTCCAGTGGCCATCAAACAGCTTAGTAAAACAGTCTATTACACTCTTAAAGTAGCTGTGGTTAACACACAGAGAGGGCTCAGGGAATAAAAGAGCACAGGAAATGGAAAGAGGAGCCAGATGAGCGAGCTCAGACCCTGTCTCTGTCTCCCTTTAAAAAAGTACCTTACAAACGCCTCTCCCAACTACAAAAGGGAACAATTTATCCCCTGGTTACTCTGAGTGTGCAACACAAAGCAACAGGCTGACCTTCTGCCTTACAGACATGTGTTATTCTTGTAATCCTCACTGTTCCCAGTTGTCTGTCCACAGTCACTATCTTTATTTCAGAGAGCAAGGTAATTAACTGCCGCTCAAAGACACCGGGCACAGCCCATTCCATGCATGGAGAAGAGCAGTGGCTCTTTATGGTATGTGGCATTATACTTTAGCCTTAAAAAAACATCTAGCAGCTTTTTTTCAGAGGCAGTTGTGAAAGCGTAACGAAGTCAGAGAAATTACAAAGGACAGGATGCCCAACCCCAATTAGGTCAGAGTGAAGTTTCAAGAAATAACATGTCCAGAGATAGAGTTTTGGGCAATAATCAAAGCCTATGCCTCAAGCAGGACAGTCAGCAGGGGCAAGCACTCAGAGCATCAGAAGAAAATCCATTCTCTGCAAAGACTATCAATAACTAAGACCAAAAGGACGTGCTCAATTCTTCCACTCGTTCCTGAGCTGCAGCTGACTTGACAGACGTGGCTGCAGGGCAGCAAATCCCCCATTTCACACAGCTATCAGCACGGCAGCAGCACATTTCCAGCAGGTCAAACAGGGATTACAGAAGCACAGAATAAGAGACAAGTACCAAACTTCCCAGCACCATTCGTTTTCATTCAGCAAGGAAAAGAAGGAAATCGGCACTGTTTAAAAAAGTGTTTAGATATAAAGTAATATAACTTATCAAATAAAACTTAATCTTACCTGTTTGCTTCCCTTCATAAAAAGCATCACAGGAGCTTTGTTTATCAAGGTTTTAAGCCTAGAGAAGGCAAGAAACAGAAAGACATAAACCAGCTCAGTTATCACCCCAAGATTTCCTTCGAGAAGAAAATAAAAAGTGGAAAGCCAGCAACTTACAGCTTCACCCAGTGCATTTAAAGCAGCATTATAAGCACCTCTGTTCATCTGAATTTCTTACACTAACTCCAGTGAAAGAGGTGGAACCATCCTGTTACTTTCAGGGCAATAGTTTACTTTTCTAGATTGACCTCTAAGTGCCAAGCAGCAATAAGTTTAAGGAAAAATGTAATTTTAGGATATTTTGAATACAATGTCTATATTTACTGACATACTGCTTTTCACATACTGACTATAATAACCGAGCATTTCTCATTCTCCATGAGAGAATGTCTCTTGCAGAGTAAGATACCTACTGGGCTGAGAGGGCAAAGACCCAGACCCAGTCACACCCAGAGCACCACAGGACTTGCTCCTGCCGTCCTCACACAGCGAGAGGGGAACTATTTGCCTTCAAGTTCCTGGCCACCTTCTTGGGAAGCCAGACCCTCTTTGCACACCTTAACAGCAGACAAAATTCACACAAAAACTAGGAAAAAAAGCCACATCTAGGAACTTCTCCAGCTGAAGGACCTGTCAGGAATGCTCTGACAAGCTCTAGGCAATCCTGCTTTAGCAGGGAAGTTGGACTAGATGATCTCTTTGGTACCTTCCAACTCTAAAAATTCAGTGAAAATTCAGTGAAATTCAGTGAATCTGGAGCTTGACTCCCTGGGGCAGGGCAGAACTTCCAACACGAGCAAATCTTCACACGGGAAGGTTAGAGACAGACAAATTGGTTTCTGGATGTTAGATCTGACTCAGGAGGCAGCACACTTCCTAGTGACACAGCACAGTCGTGCCACCAGGTGAAAGCAAACAGGAGCAGAAGGACACAAGTCAGCAGGAAAAACGAGGAGACAAGCAGAGGCACTTTCTCCAGCAGCATCACAGTTATGAAGTCTGGGCCAAATAGAGCTACCAAAAGCTACTAATGTTTAGAAAATTGTTTTCTCCTTTATCTTTAAATAATAAATTCTTGAGAGAGACAATAAGGAAACTATATATACCTGCTACAAATAAAAATTAACAAATATAATAAGTAAAGCCAATTGAAACAGCGTCGCTTAATACAGATATTGCACTATAGCTTTATATTAAGTGATGCCTCCTATATAGAAAATAGAACATATTAAACAACTGCAGGAGTTCTGTGATTAAAGAAAATCTTGACACAGTTCTGATAAAGTCAAAGAACAGGAACTTCTATAGGGGGTTCCCCCTATATAAATGAACACACAGGAAACCTCAAAAATAGGCACCCTTAAAACAATGAGATGATATATCACACCTGTCCTCCAACTTCTGCGCCTTCGGACACACCGTGTCCAGTTCTCCAGACGCCTCAAGCTCCTGAGGAGATTGGGGAGAAGAAAAATCAGACATAAAAAGCAAGAAAACCCATGCTTCTGACAACTAACAAGATTAAGAATTTCTCCGTTTCTCACCTTGATAATATCAAGTCCACCTATCAGCTCTCCAGCTACGTACAACTGCGGGTAAGTTGGCCAATTAGAGTATGTTTTCAGCCCCTGACGAACTTCTTCATCAGAAAAAATATCAAAACTGCTAAATGAAATACCATGTTTGTTCAATATCTCCACCATTTGTTTGCTGAAACCTGCAAACACAAAAAGAGGAATTACATCTTACTATTACAAGAGGAAAGACAACGCTTTAAGGCTTTAATAAGGAATCAAAAAAAATAAGGCCGCTTTAAATGGGAAAAAGAATCAAAGTGCTATAGAAAAATAACCTTTGATTTCAGCTTGCAAGACCACCTATTAGTTTTTGAAATATGGATTTTTACTAGGGCTTTCTGCAGTTTTCATGATCTGCAATTTATTGAGCTATGAAGTAGCAGTATTTATATGTACAGCATCTAAGTTGCTTTTCTTTCTACAGCTGAAGCGTTAAGTTCATGTACAGCCTGGAGTAAAACACAGATTCTGAAATTTTTCATCCATCTGGGAGTTCATTAGTAAACAGCTAAAGGCTGATTGCTGATGGTTATTCCACCGCCAATATATTAACTCATTTCTACTGTAAGGAACTGGGGAGAAAAAAAAAAGCTTTATTTTAGCTGTAGGCAATTACATGCAAACTAGAAAGATTGATTGGTTGTGTTCCACTGCGAAGGGTCTGGCAGCAGCCTGGAAGCGCTCGGCTTCCGGATAAACTGCCACAACAGTTTCACTTTCGTAACAAAAGATTTAGGGTGAATTTCTGAAGAAATGCCATACAGGCATTACAAGGAATAATTAAACCCCTAACAGAACGTTTTAAGCGGTTATCTAGATGATCACAAATGCCTCTCCAGATTCACAATAAGAACACCCCAAATAATGACAGCATTGATGCAGCAAATAAACAAACACAACCACAGTCCAAAGGAATCCCTGAAATAATACAACGTACGTACAACATACAGTTGCCAGCAAACACCCTGCCCACTGCTGGGATGCACAGGATGTGTCTCCCCACAACTGGGTCAATCTGACAGGGAACAGGGGAACAGGACCTGGGGAACTCCTCACCGCAGCGGGGCTCCTTGGGGGACCCCTTCATGAAGAGCATGCAGGGTGCAGCGTTGATGAGCTTCTTCAGGCGCGAATTCAGATCTTCCTTCCCCCCCTCGCTGGAGGCAGGGGGGAGGGAAGCGCCGGCCGCGTGGCGCTGCACCTTTTTGGTCAGCTCTGGAGCATGGGCACCATCCAACCTGTCCACTTTCTGGGAATTCTACAGAAACCAGAACACAGGCTCGTGTTAAAGGATTAAATTCAGAATTTGTACTGTAATAAAAGGAATAGTAAAGCCACCATATAAAGTATAGATTTTCGGGTGCAGGGTGGATTAGTGTATTGATCTTTTAGCCAGACTTTAGTTCCAAGACTCGTACCATTCTGTTGCCTGTTAATGCCAGCCAATTTGCCATCAGAAGAATTTATTAAAGAAGATATTTTTAATTTTATTATCGCAGACAAACGTGACCCAGACTCATCATTTCTACCACACGATTATTTCCTTGGGTCTCTGCCATGCTGCAGAACCACAGCCAGGCAAGGAAATACTACTGGAAATTTTTTGACCCAGTACAAGGTACAACAACTAAAACAACTCCATAATAATCCCAAAGCAATTAAGGAAGCTCTGAAATGTTACATACAAAGCACAAGAACCATTTCTATCCACTTTTTTAGGTTCCACTAGACAGAATTAAATCAGATACGCAAGTGTTTCTTCACTGAGAAAGTTCTTAAGTTTCTGCTTTTCTGGTAGTAGTATTAAAAAAGTATCCGCATTAAGAGTCCACATGGAATCCCTTTCCTCTTAAATCCAGTTTCTCTTACCTTAAAGAATAAGAACGTTGGAACAGAACTAATTCCGTATTTTTCAGATACTTCAGGCACAGCTTCAGCTTCCAACTGAAAAAAAAACAACCCCAAAAAACCAAAACAAAAAGATTATTTTCATAATCTTCTTTAAAGTTGGACTGTGGATGTCAATCCTGTCTAGAATGTTCTTCTCGGCATTTTATACATTTTAAAAGGATTTGATGCAGAAGTTTGTGACACATTTGCATTTAAATGAGACTCACTGGGTTGGCGTGTCATCCACTGAGCCTACACAGTGTCAAAACAGGTTCAGAGGTTTTTATTTTGTTGCACATTTCAAAAGATGCCCAGAGGCTACGAATAAAATTTTTGGTGCACTAGTGACCTAGTAAATTTTCAATCATATGCAGCTACTACTATATTGAAATCCATAAATCATTGACCCCAGTTATGTCATGATTACAGTGCTTATTTTCTGCCCACAGCAATCCTTGCTGTTTGCTCTATTGACTAATTTCAAGGGGCAGTACATCATGACTGACATTTGCAGCCTTCTGCAAATTATGAAGCAAAAAAGGAGTGTTTCTTCAATAAGCTATTGATGGCTACATCTCAGCTTTAACTCCTGCAAGGCTGCCAGCTAGGCGAAAGTATTGGTCCTCAATTTATTCAGCATTCAAACGCATCCTTTGAAATTATATCATGTCATTTGCCAACAAAATATATCTTCTCATTAACTCAAATTTGAGGGTTTTCTGTGCATAGACTAAAAGCTTCCTTAGGTGAGAGATCTAGTACAAGGTTGTTTAAGACACAAGCTCTGTAATATCTGAGTTTATGGTTAAAAAAGTAGTAATAGTTCTAAATATTTCAAACAGAAAGCTACAACCCAGTGTACAGAAGAAAAAGCCTTTCAAATTCTTATTCGACAAACAGTACAGTGACATTTCATGAACAAGCATCGAGAGAACTACTTACCAGCTTGCTCCTGCCCACCCCTACCCACCCTTACACACTCCAGAAAATACTGTGTCTGTTCTCACTATGAACTGACATGTGATGTAGTGACCCTCTGAACACTTTAGTATTACACCATGTTTTGATTTGTTCCCCCTAATGAGATCACTGAATCCAGAAGCAATCCCCCAGAGTAAGTCAGAAGTGAGAGTCCAAGCTTCACCCCCAGTTCTGTAAATCAATGCTCCAACAGGAACAACAAAGAAATCTAAGCTATAAATTGAAAACTGTAAATAGATTCCAATTATCTATTCTCTTTCAAGCGGCAAATGATTAAATAACTTTTACCTATAACATTAATTTTCTTTTCCAGTAAAATTTCCTACTTAGTTGGGATACTTATGTTCCCCTCTGGTGAGGCTCACGCATACAGAACAGATTCATATTTCAATAACTTGCTGTTAGTGGTACAACTTCCCAAACATTTGTTTCTAACTGTTTCTGGATATGGACAACACTTTCATTTTAACCAAGCCAAGGATCTTACAGTTAGGCCATGCAACAACTAAAATGAGAAACTGAATTTAGAAAGACTTCAAGATTTATTGGCAATTTTGAAGTTCCTGTCATTATTCCTTAGCTCTGTTCCCGAATGGAGTGGTTTATGACTTGCAGGGCAAGACCCTGCTCTCGGGCAGTCGTCTGGAACCATCTGATGAGTTAACAGGTTCTTGCCAATTAAAAGGAGACTCTGGCTGTTCTGGAATATAGCCCCAAATCCCACAAAGAACTTCCAAAATCAAATACGTTCACCATGAGGAGCCCCACTCCACCCTCTGCAAAAAAAAAAAAAATCCACCCAAGTCTTTCAGTAGTTTATTTTCTCTAAACAAGTAATGTCTGGGTGGGCAGGGAGGGGAATGTGCCATTATCTTAGTTTTGCAAAACTTGATCACTTTGAACTGTTATTAAAAAAATAAATTGCAGCAGAATAATAAGGGTTATAAATAAATAATACATAAATACGAATAATAAAGAGACAACTCAGAGTTCTCAAGTTTTCTTGGGCCCAACAAAAGCTGTAGCAATTCTACATAATGTAAGCATCATGAATTTTCAAAACATTGAAAATTAGTGTTTTGAAGCTCTAAGTAATAAGATACCACCAGTAGAATACCTCCACCTTTCTGTTTCATAGAGAGAAATACCGACTGAGAGGAATCATTAAAAAAAAACCCCACAAAACCTAAAGGCTGTAAGAAATCAAATTTAACACTCACACACAGCTGGCTGCTCCATTACTCCCTGCCCTCATAATCACAGAAGAGTCTCATTAACAAGAGAAAGTTGTTTTAAAAGGAATGGCATGTTGATGAAGTGCGGTCATTTTTCCTTCCACACTGGTTCTCTTACCAGGACGTGCAGATGATCTCACAAAAACAGAGCAGCTCCTTTGTGTTTATAGCACCCAGCACACACCACTGCAACCCCAGAGTCCAGCGTTGCACAGAGTTTAATTTACATTCCTTTAAACTTCATGAAGATCATTGCTCATCTTTAGTATCAGACAGAAAAATCTCTAGGAATTCTGAGATCTATTTAGCTCAGCACTAACATCAGGGGAACAAATGAAATCTCCACGTAAAGCCATAAAGGAACCTCAGAAACACCTTTACCCGTATTTTGTCCAATTTTACACATGCTTTGCAGTAACAGCTCTCCTCTATTTGAAACAAGCCCAAGCACCTGACTTACCTTCACAAACGTCACCTGCACGTGCTCCTTTGCCAGTGCTGCCATGACCTCGTTCATCTGAGCACACTGGGGAGCCCACGGTGCCCAGAAGTGGACAACTACGAGGGACCTAAAAATAAAAAAAGCTTTTATTAGCTCCAACTTCTTAGTGCTCATCCAGCTTCAATAAAGTTCCCTTGAATGTTTGGTATTAATTACACCCAGCATTTGATGATGAGAAGCCCCACATGTGAACAGAAATCCCACCGAGCTGGGTACCACATTGTCATCCTCGTGAGCACAAAGAAACGTGCTTTGGTGAGAACAGCCACAAGACATTTGCATCTCATTTTCAATTCTGATCTCCAGGTTTGCTGAAGCCAAAACCACTAAATAATAAGGGATAACGAAAAAATTTAGCAACTTAATAGACTAGTTTTAATCTACTTAGAGAGAGAGAAATCAACGTAACCATAGTGTAGCAGCTCTTTAATGTCTTTTATTAGCAAATACTGGCAGTTCAGTATGAATGTGAACAGCTATGCAGGCAGCGTGACACTCATACCAGAACTGGTATCTGACCACACACTCTGAATACAGCACTACATTCAGTTCAGACACAGAACTTTAACATTCAGAAACTCTGTTTCCCAAAGCAATTCTAGAAAATTTCAGTAGAAATATAACAGGATAGCCTCTTTTTTTTTTTTTTTAATTATGCCATCAGTCAGAGCGTGGTTCTGCTTTGAAAGCTGATTAAAACCAGCAGAGTTTACAGACCAGTAAAAACTGAAACTGCAGGAAAACAGAAATGCCTTGTTGCATGAGTGCCAGCCTCGCAAATGCAGACCTGAGCCCAGGCACAATTCAGGACATCTTCTCCTGAGCTCTCTCCTGCACAGGTTCCCCTCCTATACAGGTCACCAGCAGCAACCATCCCAAAGGGAAACCACCTCTTTAATTACATCAAAGTAGCTGTAAAGCTTCTTCAAACTGATTCCACTGCTCACAATTGACATGTAAACCCCAGTAAAGTCTCACTTAAGTGATTTACTCTTTACTTATAAATGGGATGCGGTATGGACTTCTTGAGACAGCTGAGACCACATCTTAGTGGCAATTCAGTAAAACTTTAACTGCAAAACTCTGTCAAGAGCTTCGCTCCAGGATGGGTCTTCCTGCACTTGCTCATCACACCCTTCACCCGAGACACCAATTTTGAGTCCTCCTCCAATATCCTCCCTAACGTATGTGCTGTTTACTGACACCGTTAGAAGCTCAGAGAAGTTAAATACTGGGTTTTTTTTTACATCACGTTTTATGACAAAACAGTCTAATCTAGTTAAGAACTACTGCAGCTTTTACAATTACAGAGAACAAAGGTGTCATTGCGACTGCCCAATGCCTGTACATCTAAAAGCATAACTTTCACATCTGTGAGATGCAAGTGGGAGAAGAGAATAGTTCCACTGGCTAAAAACAAGCAGCGGAAGGAAGGAGAACAGAGAACATGAGCAGTTGAGTGGCTGCACTTCAGGCCAAAGCACTAATAAATAACATGATGGATTTTCCTTCCATTCACTGAAGGCAGGAACACACACCCGTCCCCGCTACCAACAAGTATTTCACAAGTGCTCAATTTAATTTGGGAAGCATAGCAGGACTCATCTGATCACAGCAACCTCAGCTCAGGACAAGCAGAGGAGGAATAATCACCTGCTTATTTAATCCTCATTCCATCAGAGCCCTTTCTTTCCTTACCAACACAGAGCTGCAATGCACTTATGGTTTATCCTCATGAAGAATGTACTCTAAATTAATTCATATCAAGGGTGTTGGGAGGGTGACAAATTCCTTCACAGAATAAGTCTAATTTTTGCAATTAGACCACCCTCTTGGTATCTGACTGCTTTCAAATCAACTTGAGAAACAGCCAGAGTAAGTTAAAACATTAAGAGCAGAAGAAAATATAAAGTTAGCAAAATGAATCATGTAAGTGATTCTACACCAAGTATTTCTTACATTCAACCAAGATATTTCTAAACACTCAACTAGTATATATAAAAAGGGATTGTAACAAAAGCTTATGACAAGTCCCAAAGTTTCTCTTCCTATATCATTTTATATTTACCATTTTTGAGGAAAAGCTGTGAGCCAAAAAAAAATTTAGCTTTAACTTTTTTTAAACTTTAGTAGCAAAGGAAAACCAGAAGGATGTATCATACATTTCACACAGTATGCCTTTAAAACAGCCTATTGACTGTAGAACCAAAACAGCAATGCCCTGATAGGCACATCCAGAAAATTAACATTCCCAAGGTCACCCTCCTTTTGGGCCAAGATACAAGTATTTTCTAAGTATTTACAATCTTTCTGACAGGCAACCCACGTTACTTGTTTTTACAAGCTGGTTTTTCCAAAACGTACTGTAAGTAACATAACAGATTACAGAGCAATAATAGAAGTTCAATAAATATGGAGATATTGGCTCAGTTCATTCTTTGCAACCGTAAAATCTAGACAAACTTTGAAAAAGAGTAAACCTCAAAATAATAAATGGGACGTGGTATGGACTTCTTGAGACAGCTGAGACCACATCTTAACAGCAGTTCAGTAAAACTTTAACTGCAAAACTCTGTTTTGGCACGTAAACTTTTATAGCAATGCTGTGTGTGGGGCAGAGGCAGACTGCAGCACAGGTACCTCCTGCAGGAGCTTTCTCTACCCTCCCAGCACACAGCTCTTCCCAACACCCCAGTCAGCCACACACCGTTTAAGGACTTTGGAGCCAGTGGGGACAAGCCCTTGGAAGTGCTGTCCCCTTGTTGCAACCAACGTTTTATTTTTGCCACAAAGTAATAAGGTGAAAATAATTAGGTAGGTTTGGGGGACAGGGGGGATCATTTGTATGTATGAGAATATCCAGTCACAATGGAATTAAAATTTTAAAATGAAAAAAGCAGCAGCAGTTCAGTATTTGAGGAGACCAAGCTCTGATGAAACGAACTGTCAAGAGCTTCGCTCCAGGATGGATCTTCCTGTACTTGCTCATCACAGCCTTCACCCGAGACACCAATTTTGAGTCCTCCTCCAATATCCTCCCTAATATATGTGCTGTTTACTGACACCATTAGAAGCTCAGAGAAGTTAAATACTGGGGGTTTTTTTTACATCAAAATTTACACTAATTCCATAACACAAAGCTTACTAAGAACTTGATGTCAGAAAGATTAATTTTCTGAAACAAGAACTGCTATGAAATTGTCAACAGTTGCAGCTGATCAGCAATAATTCTATTAGTCTGGAAAAATCAGGAATTCCATCTGGAAAAAAAATAGCAGTAAAATAGCATTAGGTCCAGCCTTAAAAATTCAGCACGTTTTTTGTCATAAGCTTTACCTTTCAAGAGAAAAATATTTCATTGAAGAAACTTTCTCCTTTCCTACTTTATTAAGTAAATGTTTAAAACTTTTTTTTTTTACACCATTGATTTTCAAATTCACCTGAAAATCTAAATATAGAAGGTACCTTAAGTGAGCCAATGCATATAAAGTTCTACCACCATCCAGAAACAGAGAGATCTTTAAAAGCATAACTATGATTTGAGGGATTTGTTATGCTCTGTGAGTGCAGGTTTGTTTGGTTTCTTAGCAGTAACAAAAAAAAACAAAGCCAAATATTTTGAAATGAAGTAGAGGAGAAGAGTTATCAGTACCATCAATTCATCTTAGGACCAAAAAAATATCCATAAAATGATCAAGCCCATTAAAGAGAAAACTAAATGACATTCTGTGGACAAAGGTCATAAGAGAATTACTGAGGGTTCTGTAGAAAATGACTTCAAAATATTGTATTTGTTCCTGAAGCCATTTTCATTTCAGTGTGTCTCATGGAGTATGAGAGTGTGACCTTCCTCTGGGATGTCCCCACACAATTCAGCTGAATAACTCCAGAAAAGAAAACCGAGTCATGCAGCAAGTTTGGAAGAATCTAGTTTCTTCTTCCCATAACGGAAATTTTTCCATGTTTCCTTACACTGTCTTTAGGAACGTGATGCTGGTAATTTCATCATCCTTTTTAAACCAGTCATTTAAATTGGTTTTCTCTCCTTATTCATTTAAAGGCCACTTGCTAACTCAGCAGTTCAATGACGTGGAAATGTTTTTATGCAGCAGTTTTAACGTGCCTGACAAGACCTAGTTAAATACATACACAGTTAGTGGATTAAGAGATGTAACAATAATTACCACGCCTTTGATTCAACAGGACAAACAAGGAAAGGCCATAACCCAACCTGTCTTTCTTCATTAAGGCACCCGAGTCCCTGTTCCTCTGCCACTGCAGCAATCCTACTGCAGCCTTTTCTCACCAAAGCCAGGTGTGGGCAGAGTGTTCCCCCACAGGATCAGTGCCCAACACCTCTCCTACCAAACCAACAGCCCCTGCCCAGGGCCCAGCTGCCTGCAGAGAATCAGCTGTCCATGCTGAGGCACCAATGGAAAGACACCCGTTACTCATTATTAGAGCAGAAAACCAGATTAATGAGAAACCAGCCCTGTGGCAAGAGAGCTGGACAACCTAAGAGACACGCTGTTTATCAATAAACAACCTAATAATGCTGTTTTCATTGAAAACGTTGTACAGTAAGTGTCTGTGTTTGTCGTGTTGACACCTTAGGGCTCAGAAGAAAAAGAAAATTCTTGGGGCGAATGAAAGCTCTGTTTTGGGTCCTTTTCCTGCCACTCGCCCACTGAGGCGGGTTCTGCAGCTGCAGGAGCCCTGCCCGGCCGGCGACTCACCCCCCGGGAGGTGCTTAAAAGGACCCCCCCTCACAAAAGGGGTCCTTAAAAAATACGCTGCCAAAAAACCAAACCCGAAGCTCTTCTCGTATCACTGGCTTCGGTGCTTTTCGTTCCTCCGTGAAGGTTTTATTCAGCTCTGAGGCAGCGCCGGGCCTGCTTCCCTCAGCACACCCCGGCCTTTCACCGAGCTCGGCCCAAACGCGCGGCGGCGGGCCCGGCTCCCTCAGCGCCCGACTGGCCGCCCCGCGCCCCGCCCCGGCCGCCATCCCCGGCGGTGCCCCGGCTCACCCGTCCTTCTGCTGCAGCA